TCGACTTTCTACAAAGTCATCTTCAGGCGAAGGCGTCAAGGATATCAAAGCATAATTTTTCCCCTTATTTGTCTTATGATACTATACAAATTGTACATTTCTGGAAAGGAAATTAAATTTCCATCCTTTTTGTAATTTTAACCTTTTTATAAATCTTATGGTTTTTGAGTTATTGAGCTTTGAAAAATTTAAACGGCCGCCATTTTGAAATTATTTAAAGTAGAAACTTGATGCTTTGTGAAAATTTTTTTCCCTATTAGTACATGTACCAAGTTTGAAGTTTGCATCGTTTCAGAGTTATGGGAAGTTATGTAAAAAATACACACACACTGACAGACGGAAAACGAAGCGAAGTAGGGCGTATGTTTATTAGATATTTTTGGTTTGTTTTGAGATATTTGAAATCGGTTTGCAGCAACCTTCTTAGAAATGAGAGGCTACAATAATAATAGTTGATTTTAAAAATTTTGCCTTAATAGGTAGCGGGGGTAGGAGGTAGCTCAAAATTTTCAAATAGCAAGTATAGTCGAGTTTGGTACCATTTTACAGGTCTTGAAAAACTGAAAGAAAACCAAAATCAGCCCTCTAACAACAAAATAACGCCATAAAACGTATAAAATCCAAATAACCATAACATAAAGAAAATAGAAATCGGACCATTTAAAACAAAATGGCAGTTAAAAACTACTTTGAATAACTATTGTCTTCATCATTTTTAGCTGCCATTTTGTTTCTTAGAAGGCACGAAAGAAACACCTTCTAAGAAACGTAAGAGGCCTTCCACATCGGACAGTCCTCAAAAAAGAGAAGAAGACGTCCAGACGAAAAGGACCGCGGTAAAGGCCAAGGCGACTCAGACGGACCTATTGTCTGCTGTGCCCAGATCCTTTTTGGACATAGCTGCAGCTCCTGTAAAGAACCAACAGCCACAGCTACCAACGACCCCCCTTCAGGGAAGTTCCCGAAAGGGGTCAGTTGTATAGACACCTGGGGCTGCGTGGGAGAAACGCCATTCCCGAAAGGAGAAGAGGCAATCGAGGTGGGCCGAGGTCGCCTCTATAAAGAATGTGGCAGTGAAGGCAGATCTTTCGCCGAGGTCTTGGGTACAATTAAGGCCAAGGCTAAGCCAGAGCAGACCGATATGGTTGTACGGTCGATTAGACGAACCCGGGATGGGGACGTTCTCCTTGAACTAGGTAAGTCAAAAGACAAAGCAGCCTTTACTGCTGAACTGAAGGCAGCAGTTGAAGGCCAGGGCACCGTCCGTGCTCTTGAACCAAAGACATTAGTCGAGGTTCGAGACATTGATTGTGTGTCGATGGAAATTGATGTTGTTGAGGCCCTGAAGAAAGCTATCCCCGAGCTTGGCGGGCAAACGGGTTTTCTTAAGGTGTGGCTCACAAAACCAAATAGGAGTCAGCAGCGGATGGCGGATGGTAAAATGATACCAAAATTGATCATACTTCCTGTTTGAAAATGTTAAGCTACCCCCAACCCCCACAACCCCTAAGGGCAAAATTTTTAAAATTAACCATCATTATTGTAGCCCTTAATTTCCAAACAGGTTGCCGCAAACCGATTTCAAAAATCTCAAATAGTTAAATAGTTAAGGGGGGTGCAAGTTAATTTTCAGCCACCCTCAAGGTTATTTGGATTTGAAACGTTTTAGGGCACCATTTTGTTATTAGTGGGCCGATTTTGGTTTTCTTTATATCAATTGTTTTGTTTTGTTAAGACCTGTAAAATGATACCAAACTCGATCATACTTGCCGTTTGAAAATTTTGAGCTACACCCCCGCTACCTCTAAGGGCAAAATTTTCAAAATTGACCATAATTATTGTAGCCCCTCATATCTAAGAAGGTTGCCGCAAACTGATTTTAAATATCTCAAATTTTTAGCCACCCTGTATATACCAATATATATATAATGAAAATTATAGTGATAAGGGCTACTATTTTGATATATAAATACATTATTGAAAACTAAGTACTGTACCCTTTTAAAATACATTTTATTAGACAACCATCAATTAACGTCTGTGAAAGCTATAACCTGTGTAATTTTTATCCGATTTTTGATGAAATTTTCTTGAAGATGAAGGGCAGGATAAACTTCAATGAATTTGCAAACCAGCATGATCGGACAATGAGAATGGGGTGAAATTGGTTTTCCTAATTTTTGCAACATCAAAATTCCCCAATTTCTCTCTTAACCATTCTGAAGAGCTCAAAAAACAAATTATTTATTATTTTAAGTATTTTTTGTTTATTGGTTACAGATAAAATTTAAAAAATTTAAAATTACCATGTTTTTTCTTATGGAGAATGAGTAAACTGTAGTAGTTTGCTTGTTTATGGATATATTTTGATCAAACTTGGCAAATTTATTTATTTTATATTAAGCTATTAATATTTTACCAAAAAACACATTTTATTATCATCCCTGTAACAGCAAATCTAGGTACTCATTAAACCTAATCTATAATATTAAAACGTGACAGGGTTTTTTTATTTCACGATTCTGAATCAACCACTTGACGGATTTTCATGATTTTTGTGTTGAAAGAAAGATAATTTTGAGAACTAGGGAATGTTGAAGCCATAATTTTAGTTTAGGGTCCCAGTTTTTTAGAAATTAAGTTTTAATTTTTAAAAAGTCTAGCAGCCAACGCTAACATTCTAAACTAGCTTTTGGTATGATATAATTTGTTTAACATAACAGCTGTAAACATTCAGCGTTTGTGACACAAATTCAGCATTTGGATGGAAATGAAAAGACATACTAAGGGTTGAATTATTTATACTATGTGTAATGCTGATCATTAACCATTATTGCTGTATACAAATCGAGGCTCTGTACACGAGTCTTAAAAGAAAAGGATATACAAATCATTTTACTACTCAACTTTTTTAGGAAAGAGTTGAAAAATAACAATATTTACATGTATTAATTCTTTTTGGTAGCTTTTTGTTTACAATTAATGTTAGTTTGCTTACAATTTGTTTGGATTAGGCTCAGAAATATTGATGTCATAGAAAAGGAGATCAAGAATAATCGGGAATCACGATTTTAAATTACCACCACAACCTCAGCTGGGTTTTATCCAAAGATAAACTGATGGATGACATAGATTGAACACAGCGGCATCATTGAACTAGGATACTGCAATTAGACAAACCATCCTTTTATGAAATAAAAAACATTGTTTGGCGTGTGTTTAGTTGTGGTTACATGTAGGGGTGCTGATGTAGGAAAAATATCACTTTTATTTCAACTGTAAATATCTTATACTTTTCATAAATTAATATGGGAAATTACGATGTAGTTTGATTCAATAGGTGGGTAATTATTACAGATATTAGAACTGATAACGGTATGGATTATTAACATGGATAATTACGTCACTAACTAGCGTGTTTACTTTTTAAATTCCTTCAACATGTGACCAGTTCTTTTTTCAAGTGAATGTTATTTTATTCAAACAGCTAATTCAAAACAAACTATATGTTATTTTTTTACTTTTAGCGAATTTCCCATATAGGGAATAAGCTATTACCGTAGTACTCATGGTAAGACCTGGACCCGAGACCGATTTAATTTTTCATTTTGAGGTCCCTAGAGGCCAAAAACACCATCCGTTCAAATTCATATATATATATATATATATATATATATATTTATATATATATTTATATATATATTTATATATATATTTATATATATATTTATATATATATTTATATATATATATATATGTGTCCGTTAGCGCGATAACTCGAGCAAAAATGATCCGATTTTGATGAAATTTGGTAAAACGTGTAAACCTACGTTTATTTGAACGAGTTCGCGATCCAGCATAATCGGACCATGGGAACGGGGGTTTATGGGGGGTTTTATGGTGTAAAAATGGGTTTTTCCCATTTTTGAACCTAAAAACAATAAATTTTGCGATTTCTTTCTAAACCGTTTTGTAGAGCTTAAAAAAAGAAATAATTTAGTATATTGAAGCGCTGTTGTATGCCTAACGGTCACGGAGAAAATTCAAAAATAGTGTAATTAAAAATTCCCATGTTATTCTTATGGAGAAAATGAAAATTGTTGTAGTTTACTTGTTTATGGGTATATATTGATAAAATTTGGCAAATTTATTTATTTCATCCTATACTATTGACGTATGGTCAAAAAACACTTTTTACCTTCCCCGTAGCAGCAAACCTAAGCACTCGTTAAATCTAATGTTATTTAAATAGGGAATAATATGTCTTATTTATGGAAATATTTTAGTAAAAATGTAATCAGACGAGTTGAAATTCGCTTAGTCTGCAGGTTTGCTGCGGCGGGGGTATTCTTTTGTTTACTCTTATTTATTTAGCAATTGATTCAGTGAAATTGATACGTTAAATGATGTTAGGATACCAAAGTTATATTATGTGTAGGCCTACTGTGAATGTTATTGGATAATGGATAATATCGTTTTATTTTAGGTAGTTTCTATTCAGACCTACTGGAAATTGTGTATAGCATGAGTAATTGTATTGTGGTGATAATAATTATGGAAGAGGCAGGTATGCGATGGGAGGTGGTATTGTTGACTAGGTCTATACACTTCTCAATTGACTATTACCATTGACTATTGGATACTGAATTATTATCCTTTGTTATCTTTTTTATATATTGGCCCTATTATAGATTCTTTCCATGATTTTGGCATGTTTTCTTAGTTCCATACCCTACATATTATATCATGGAGTTTTTCTAGTGGAGTCCTGCCACCTTTTTTTTTTAAATGATTCCGCTACCATGCCATGTTCTATTTTGTCTTTATACATGTAAACTAGCTGTTTTGAATTGTACACAGTTTTAACTGACTACTCAATTCCCGTACGTAGGACGGGCTAGCATCTCGTAGGTATTATTTAAATAGATTAAGTCAAAATCAAATCAGGCAAATGGAAATTCGCTTAGTCTGCAGGTTTGCTGCATCGGGTGTATTTTTACCTTATTAAGGATGTCTATTTGCAGCCTGAAGTCCCTAATGGTCGAACCCATGTTATTCTCCTTCAGTTTGATCTCCTGTTGAATGTCCTCTATCTCTTTGTGAGCAATTTTTAGCTCTCTCGTTTTCTCACTTGCCTCTCTTGATGCTTCCTCAAGTTGATGCTGTTTGGCCACCAGTAAAGCCTCCAACTCCTTCACTTTTGAGTCCATCTCACTTTGAACCAAATTAGATTTTGTCAAATTTCACTTATTACGTAACTTTTTTACAATTTCTAAAGGTTTTGGAGTGAAAAACTAGATAAACTAGCAGCAGCTATACTATTCTCTCCTACTAATTCAAAATAGATTTGTAAAGTAGGGAAGAGGAATGGAGTCACACTTTTGATGACATTTAATTCTCATACCTAAACGGAATGATAATGAGATAGAGTGTGATTCAAACTGACCTCAGCTGTTGTTGGCTTTTGTTAGCCATCAGCTGCAGTTCATGGGCCCTGTTTGTGGCTAGTGTTCGAACATGGCTGGCTAGCAGCTCCTTCCTAGCCTCGTACCCAGACTCTAGTTGCAGCAAACTCAAGTTGTGTTGGCAGCATTGTTCTGAAACAATGTTATCAGGAAAAAGATTCATACAAATTTTTTAATTATATGTTTAGAACTAATATTTTCCCAATTGAGGAAGTGACAAATGATGAAAAACAAACTATAGATTAATTATTCAACTTAAATCTTCAAATATAAACTTAAATCTACTCGTACTAAATAAAATGTTCAAATTCAGGAGTGAAAAACATTAAGGCTACGGCCACATGGGCGTTTTTTCACGCAAGAACGCAGCCTGAAAAAAGCGAGAAATATAAGCAGCATTAAATGTAACGAGGTATGCCACACGCAGTGTTTTTTCACGCAGATTCGACGCGTCTGCAAAATCACCTCCCGCGGGCCCGCAGAAGAATGGACTGGGGTGCATTTTTAAAGCTTGCTTTCACGCTCTGTCCCTGGCCACACGGGCAGGAGCAACACGCAGATCAAGTCACTTTGATCAAGTCGTCCTAGCAAGTTAAAATAAAGATAAATGTATCTAATTTTTTCCAGGATAGGGTAAAATATTTTTGGGTCTAGCCAATTACACAGTAGGCCTACACGTTTTATCTTAAACATAGGTCGACCTTACTGGACCACTTAATAATTTGTTACTAAAATGAAAGGAATTTAGTTGGACTAAAAAATGTAAAGAAGCATTTATGTAATAGAATATTCAAAGATCTGATGAAAATCTTGTCATAGAAAGATTTATATTATATTTTTATTTTTTATATTAAATGTAAATAATTAAATGAAAGGATAACAAAACAAAATAATTTTAGTGTTGTTTTCGTATTGAAATTAATATATCATTCATATTTCTTGTTCACTCGTCAGAAACAAGTTTACATGGCCTACCGGCCATGAGGAGTATATACAACATAATTATGTGAATTCATCAATCAACTGCAAGTTCCAACTGCATTTTGCGGCTCCTGGACTTCAACCAGCGTGATAATAAGCTACATTTTACCGCAAAAAAAAAAAAAAAAAAAAAAAACGCCTGTGTGGCCGTAGCCTTATAGACTAAAATACAAGCACCTTAACATTCTTACTGAACAAATAAACTCAGAATCTAGCAAAAACACAATACCTCTTCTAATGGTTGAACTATCAAAAGGAATAGCGTTGACTGATGTGCACTTTCAATATGTTATCAATGCAATGGTTGTAAAATATGTGGTGCCATTTACTTGCATTTTGTTCAAAATATGCACTATATATTTAACAACCAAAGCTCATAATGATTGTTTGCTGATATTTCCCATATTGATTGATGTTTTACATTTAGACGAGGGTCTTATCATCAATGCTGGGAATGCTGAATGAAAAGATTTTAATTTAAAAAATTAGTGATCAAGACATTACTTTCCGGGCCAGGTTACTTTGTCAAAACATTGGATTAAATCAAAATCATTAAGGATATCCTGTATACCACCATGTAACAACCAATACATAGGCTACACCGCAGTGGTGTAGCCAAGGGGGGGGGGGTTTGGGGGTCATAACCCCCCCCTCCCCCTTTAACGAAAGCATTTTGCCACCATCACGGGAGCAATCATTATTCGTCTGTGATCGTGGTAAAGTAAACATTAGTAGCAGTAAAATCTGTAAAGTTATAGCTCTAATACAAAAATATTGGGTCTAAAATTTTTAAACAAAGTACATTATATAGAGCCATAGATTAAAGGAGTAGACAGTAGACATTTCTACTCCTTTAATCTATGGTAGAACCTCGATTATCCGAAGTAAAGGGGGAGACCACGGATGACTGAAAACCACGGTTAATCCAAAATGACATAAGTTAAACAAATATTAAAAACCCATAAAACTGCTGATACTGTATATAAACAGACATTATTGAGATGATTAATTTGCTTTTCACACTCCGGTAAACAAAATACAATTATTACAGTAGTATTGCACAATCATGATATGTTGTCACTAACCTTGGTTCAGTAATAAAAACTGTAATGTTTAAAATCATAGCTAAACTCAAACTTTTACTCAGACAAAAAGGCTATTGCTACATATGCTGTTTTAGGACAGAGAAATGTGAATTAATTATTAAATACCATAACTCATTAAACAAGTATAAAATTATAGTAGGATTTTTATAGATAACAACACTAAATATAAGATAAAAAAAGAACAATGACATAAAGACATCGCTTATTCATTCTCTTTGATAGTCTATTCTTTCTTGGGTTCCTCTTCATCCACACATTCAACAAGTTGCCATGGTTAATAATCACCCAACCACAAGCTACTACATGGCTACTAATTACCCAATCACAAGCATTATGTCATCTACCGCTGTGACATAGTGAACATACAGCAGACAGACAGATGTGTAAGGAGCCGCTGTCAGTGCAAGAGCAAAGCTAGACCTTGAAGCTATCAGCCAATATTTCTTTGTTTTGCTTCCATTTTATATATGTCAAATAAACTGTGATGTCTCAAAAACAATAATGTGGGAACCTACTGCATATAAATATGGTCATCTATAATATTAAAACGTGACAGGGTTTTTTTATTTCACGATTCTGAATCAACCACTTGACGGATTTTCATGATTTTTGTGTTGAAAGAAAGATAATTTTGAGAACTAGGGAACGTCGAAGCCATAATTTTAGTTTAGGGTTTAAGTTTTTTGGAAATTAAGTTTTAAATTTTAAAAAGTCTAGCAGCCGACGCTAACATTCTACTCTAGCTTTTGGTATAATAACAGCTGTAAACATTTTGCGTTTTTCGACACAAATTTAGCTTTTGGATAAAAATGAAATGACATACATAGAATTGACTTATTTATACTATGTGTAATGCTATAACCATTGGTACATTTATTTAATCGGTAAGAGGATGAGAGTTTATTTAAATATAAATGGTAAAATAATAGATGTTATAATTTATTTTTTTTAGCAGTCTTTAAAATATTTAGTTTGTTTTAGTAAGGCCTACCGCACACGAGAGACTTTTTGTCGGCCGACTGTTGGCCATCTGTCTGGCTGGAGTCGGGTGGACAATCGAAAAGTCGTCGAGACTGTTTGGTCGCTGACTATGGGTGCGCACACGCCACGACTGTTTAGTTGTCTTTCGAGTGTCAAAAGGATGTATAGCCTATGACAGAAACTGCTACCATATGTGCGTTACTGATAAGATTTTGTGCAAGAAAACGTAAGAGAAAATGCTGGGTGCATCCAATATCCAATTTATAGTCCGAGAACCTTGAAAGGCCAGATTTACCTCTATACTCGGATTTGAGGAAGAATCTGGGCAAATGTTTCATGTACTCATGAATGAGTGTTGATAGTTTTGACCAATTGTTAATACCCCGGCTTCAAATACCTCATCAAAATCAACAAAAGCAAACAAAGACAAAGAACAAATTGTGTTAAAGGCAGCAAACATGTTTGTGAATAAATATTGGTTTACTAAGGTAGCTTTGGTCTTTTGGTTAATAAAAAGGCTCCCTTGATTGGAATATTAGAAACTGGTGTACCTGTTGCTCGAATTCGAGCAATTGCGAAGCATTACAGGTGACTCAAATATTATGGAAATACTCACGATCTACACAACAGTTAGATATAATCAAAATCGTTTGTAAATATCTTATCTTTTTTCAAAAAGCTGATCTTGTTTTTTTAGTGTTTTTAGTGTAAAAAAAGCATTATTTCTATTTCTTCTACTTGGTTGTGTTCTATGACTTTTTCTATGTTTCCATTGTTTGCAAATCGGTTATTTCAATGATTGCTCAAGAAATTTAGCACAGTGTTGATTCAGTTTTATTTTTAGCCTATATCAAATTCAATAGACATGGTTTAGCCCCTGAGCTGAATTGATGACTAATATAATATAAATACCTCGTCACAGCTCTGTAGTTACTGTAGATTACAGCTGTTTCGGCATTAAAATGCCATCCTCAGATATACATACATCCACCTGAATTGGCGTCGTTAAACTTTACACATACACGAACACGATAAAAACACAAAAACACTTAGAACAAGAGACAGGCCTGTCGCGTACATGATTGTTACGAGTACGGAAGCTGAGTCAGCTTCCGTACTCGTAACAATCATGTACGCGACAGGCCTGTCTCTTGTTCTAAGTGTTTTTGTGTTTTTATCGTGTTCGTGTATGTGTAAAGTTTAACGACGCCAATTCAGGTGGATGTATGTATATCTGAGGATGGCATTTTAATGCCGAAACAGCTGTAATCTACAGTAACTACAGAGCTGTGACGAGGTATTTATATTATATTATATCAAATTGTCCAGGATTTCTCGCTCTTTTCCATTGTAATAATTATACCAACCCAAGTTTCGTCTACAGATGCAATATTCCAAAGAATATCACCTACGTACAATCTCCAAGAAGTGGTAAAAAAGGCAGAAACCAAACTCCATAAGAAATAATTTTAAAAGTTACTGTTATATTAGGATTTTCCACTGATTTGGTAATAGAACATTATATTGCAAAACATGACACGATGCAGAAGAAAATCAATTTTAAAATCAGAAAAATCCATTGCAAATACTGTACTTCCATTTTGACAAATTCAATAAACCACAATTTAAATATTAACAGCTGTTGCATTAAAAAGTAGTGTAGAATTATGCATATGGTCGTAATGTAAACAAATCTGAAGAGGCAACTTTAAAAGCTTCTGGGGCAGAGCCCCAAGGGAATTTACCTCTTTCCTCTTTTGATGGCTCATCTGCAGACCAAAACCTTTCTTTAGAGACCCCTACCAAGTCTCTACGCCCAGCCGTTCTCTCAAATTAGCTGTGACAAAAACCCCAAGAATAACATGGGATGGGAATTTAAAGGCCACGGGGGCAGAGCCCCAAGGGAATTCACCGTGTTTCTCTTTTGATGGCTTATCTACAGACCAAGACCTTTCTTTAGAGACCTCTACCGAGTTTCTACGCCCAGCCGTTCTCTCAAAATAGCTGTGACAAAGAAAAACAGTTTCAAATTAATATATAGATTGTCTTCGTCAAATGAAAAGACAAATAAAGGTGTCTTGAGATAATTTGAGATTATTTGACATGACCAATGCAAATTTTGTATCTGTTATTTTGTTTCAATAAATGAGTTATGAGTTATGAGTTATAAGCTTAGTTCTTAGTCAAAACCGCCAAATTAGCACCCTGACACAGTTATTATTTCCAAATGTATGCTTCTTTTGTGAAGGTTTCATAATTAGTATAAAGTAAAGACATCCAATTGACTAAACTTAATGCTAGATTTGTTTCTGATCAACATAAAAAACTACTATTAGCCTGGTGTAAGATTATGTGGTGGTATTACTCCTAAAGATGCGATTGACTTTACATATTTTATCAAAAAAGGGCCTAATCAACGGCTGTAAATTAAATTAAATATCTAGCCAGGTTGAGAACCGGAGATTCTGTGTGTATCAAGTTGTACTTGAGTTTTGATAACCGGGAAAAAACATCGTGAATCAGTGTTGTACAGGACTGAGAAATTGTTTAAATCATCGACGCTAAAAGCCTACAATTGAGGTTTCCACTCATTAACAGCGTTTTGAATGCTGTTGTGTCAAGTAAAAATCACAACTACACTGGGTGATCGCATTTGTTGCTGCGATCTTGGAAGATTTTTGTGATTTTATTTTGATCGTAGCAATAGCTTTTCCAATGTGTCACTTTCAATTTTGACTCACTGCTATTGCGCTGCTATCGCTGGACCCAATTTTACCTAGAGTAAACAGTTGTGTTAAACAGTGCGTTTTGATCTGTGATTTCAAATGTGTAGGTTTTTTTTAATTTACTGAATTATATTGTTTTTGGGGGTAAAGGTTGAGTACATTAAAAGAAAACACTAATGCGTGTCGTGTTTGTAATAATTTAGACTAAGTTAATAAAATTTGGTTTAGGTTTGTACCTTTAATTTGCTTACTATTTATTATGCTAAGTTAAGCCTAGATTAAATACTTATAGCAAGACAAATGATTAATCTGAAGAATTTCTTAACAATACAAATTTAATGAACTAAAAATAAGATATTACAATGATGAATGGGGTGAATGATCAGATAACAGATAAGTTAAGTTATAGGGTTGCCATCTTTGGTTTAGCCTAGCTCAGTAAAAACAGAACAATGAGTTTACAATTTAGTATAATTACATAAATCTCAGGGAGGGGAACTCGGCTGGCTAAAAAGATCTTCAAATATTTTAATTTATGAAATAGGCCTAAAATGCCAATTATTATGAAAAATGGGATAATTTTTGTATTGCTCTTAGGCTTGGATAGGTAAATTAAATAAGTCCAACAATGAATAGACTAGGTGAAAAATTTATCAAAGTTGAATTTAGTTCTCTTGTCAAATTGTTTTTCTGGGATTATTCTTGATGAAATAAAATAGTTTTTGAATTCAAATAATTAGGTTCGATGATCAGAAAGTAAATAAAAAAGGTCTATTCAGTTGAATTTCTTGAAGGTAGGCTAAGCCTATACAAAATGGAGAGTTCTCACCAGATCTTCAGTAACAGTGTCCAATTTATATATAAATCTTGAGGTGGTAGTACAATTTTGAAATGAAAAAAATGTATATATAAAAGCTAAACTGTTCTTCTGTTATTAAGTTAATGTTCAGTTAAATAATTTTGATCACTGACTTTATAAATATTAGGGATTATACCCTCACTGAATTTAAGGTGTTGATGCTGCCATGTCCCAATAGAGAAGGAGGAAAATTTTAGTTTCACACAGGATGATCAGAGTTCATTGTTGAAGCCAGCTGTCTTCTTCCTTTATCACTTGCACATGCACTAATAGTCAGGCTTTTGGATATTAATTTGATGTTGGGGTTTTAGAAATAATTTATACTATATTAATAATTTTGGATAAAAGTGTTATTGCAACTATGGACTTAATTACAGGTTACAGGATTTTATTAACAATAATTGTTGAATATATAGGCCTACAATATATTTTAAAATGTGATGATGGTTTCTGAGGGGTGATTAAAGGATAATATAATTTAAATTTACTATTAATTTTCTGACAATTTATTTAAATAGGCTATATGGCGAATTTTGGTACAATAAAAGAAGAAGAATTATATAACTAAAGAATGAATGTAGTGAATGGTCTAAAAATGACATGTAACATTGCAACAAGTGAATTCTGTATGCGGGTTTATTGTTAAAAAATATTCTAAAATGTGTGAAAAACGTAAACATTGTTTGTGACAATGGAACAAAGACTCAATATTCTGGAGGGTCTTGATAATGCCGAATCAGTCCAGTGTTTCAAAAATGTGTCTATAAATAGAATGAAGACAATTCAAGGAAGAGATGTCAAAAGCATCATTTTGGTAACTAATGTGAAAAAAAATTCTAAAATTATTTAACATTTTTTTTAGTTATTTTTTTATTTTAAATAAATGGTAATTAATTTAATAAGTTAGAGTTATTTTAACCTTTGATATTCGGTTAGTCTGACCATTTTCAAGTGCGGCCAGTGGTAAGGTCCCGAGGAGGACGAACTAGAGAGAGTCTTCTGTATCAATTTATATGTTAAAGTGTTCAAAAAATAAAACTCAAATTTCAGAAAGAAGGTTAAGAAGAATATAATCAATAATTTGTACGATAGCTACCGATGGCTGTGAGGAGTTGGTTGGGGATGGAGTTGCCTTGCAGCCGTAGTGAGGTGAGAGTCTTGTTGGCTTGTAGAGCTGACAACAAGCACTGGCCTCCCAGCTGCTCTATTGAGTTCCATCTTACATCTACACACATAACATAAGCTTATACAACTACTAGCTGTACCCGAACTTCACAACGGGAAGATGTACTATAGGGCCTACCACCAAATCCAAACACTTGTTAAGTAGTTCGAATTTATAAACAATAAGCCACCAAATTTATATAAAAAATTATAACCTACATTGTATTTGTCCTACTGTTTAAATGAAAATACATCATCAATATCATTATTTTTATAACTTACAGCTATCAAAACTTTTTTTCCTTAGTCAAAATAGTTTTAGAATTAATTATCAATGGCAAAGTTTTAGAATAAATAAACCTACTACAGTAGACCCCCTCTTAACCGACCCAAATGGGACCGGACCTAGGTCAAATGATTCAAAAGGTCGGATAAAATGGGCAATCCCTAAAATCATAACATAATAAAGTGCTATTCATTTGGAATTATATAATCATTATTTTGAAGTCATACTTGCACTAGTGTACCTGTTGCTCGAATTCGAGCAATTGCGAAGCATTACAGGCGACTCAAAGATTATGGAAATACTCACAATCTACACAACAGTTAGATATAATCAAAATCTTTTGTAAATATCTTATCTTTTTTTCAAAAAGCTGATCTTGTTTTTTTAATGTTTTCTACAAATTTTTCTCTCTCATAGCCACATTAGGTTGTCTATGATAACGATTATAAATGAAAAAAAAAACATTATTTCTATTTCTTCTACTTGGTTGTGTTCTATGACTTTTTCTATGTTTCCATTGTTTGCAAATCGGTTATTTCAATGATTGCTCATGAAATGTAGAACAGTGTTAATTCAGTTTTATTTTTAGCCTATATCAAATTGTCCAGGATTTCTCGCTCTTTTCCGTTCTAATAATTACACCAACCCAAGTTTTGTCTACAGATGCAATATGCCAACGAATATCACCTACGTACAATCTCCAAGAAGTGGTAAAAAAGGCAGAAACCAACCCATACAATAGATATAAGTTAACTCCAAAAGAAATAATTTTAAGAGTTACTGTGATATTAGGATTTTCCACTGATTTGGTAATAGAACATTATATTGCAAAACATGACACGATGCAGAAGAAAATCCATTTTAAAATCAGAAAAACCCATTGCAAATACTGTACTTCATTTTGACAAATTCAATAAATCACAATTTAAATATTAACAGCTGTTTCATTAAAATGTAGTGTAGAATTATGCATATGGTCGTAATGTAAACAAATCTGAAGAGGCAACTTTAAAGGCTTCTGGGGCAGAGCCCCAAGGGAATTTAGCTCGTTCCTCTTTTGATGGCTCATCTACAGACCAAAACCTTTCTTTAGAGACCCCTACCAAGTTTTTACGCCCAGCCGTTCTCTCAAATTAGCTGTGACAAAAACCCCGTTTTCCTCTATAAGAATAACATGGGATGGGAATTCAAAGGCCACTGGGGCAGAGCCCCAAGGGAATTCACCATGTTTTTCTTTTGATGGCTCATCTACAGACCAAGACCTTTCTTTAGACACCTCTACCGAGTTTCTACGCCCCGCCGTTCTCTCAAAATAGCTGTGACAAAGAAAAACAGTTTCAAATTAATATATAGATTATTTATAAAATAAACTACTCTTATCTCCTTTTTCATATTGATAGAAATGTCACAAATAAACACAAAACACGGTTAAGTCAAATAGGCCTACTTTCAGTAGAATATATTATAATACTAGGCAAGAGTCAATAAAATTCCTATTTCAATAACTTTACTACTGTAATGTAATAATTAATGCTTTCCAAATACATCGTAATACAGTACAGAACCTTTTGTCGTCATTAAAGATACAAGCGACCATTTTGTTACAAGACAGGACGTTTATTTATAGCCTCTCACTGGAGGCTCGAGGCAAAAAAACTATCTTGACCTTGGAGTTGTTAACACCCCTTCCCTGCCCTCCCTACAAGTTGCGTTGTTTGTTTACTCCAGCGATAAGATAATCAGTTCTCAAAATCGTAACGCACTTTATGATGTTATAAATTTGCCGCACAGATAACAAATCAGATCAGATGTGCTCGAGCTACGTACGATGATGACAAACTGACAATAGGCTATGCTATATTTTTTGTGATCTTCACAAGATAACTTATTGTTAGTCATATCCTGTGGAGATAAGCGTATGGTTCAGTTCTCATTGTCCAGCGAGGGAGCGGAAATGCCGAGATTCCTAGAAAGCGGCGGTTAAACCGAGCTGCTCTCAAAGCAAGGTCGGTTAAAACAAACTGTATTATTTTACGATCAAAGGCGGATAATCCGATTATCGGTTAATACGAGGTCGGTTAAGAGGGGGTCTACTGTACATAGTTGTGTAAAATATTTTATTTGATTTATTTGGATCAGCTGTCTGAAATTGTGAAATAAGCATTAATTTGGCAGTTCTGATTGTTTACATTGAAATGTCAACGCAAAGGTAAACATTGTGAAATTTCTCATGCTTCCATGGAGACTAACTATTACTTTTGAAAACCTGACTACAACACTTTGGACATCCAAGTGGCGTAGCCCAAGAGAACTCAGGGAAGTGAATATGCCTATAACTACTATTTCTTCATAACCAACACACCAAGGGGAATATTTTAAGGCGAAGATGAGTGAAGGAAGAGTTTTTAATTAATTAGATAACAGCTTTGTTACCAAATAAGTATAAGATCATGTGGTTGTAAATATAATGATCAAAGATAGCCAGAACCAGTTTTGAATCATCAAAAAGCGACTGACTGTCCACAGGATCAACCCAGCAACCTTCTGGTTAATTAGCGAGCGCTAAATCCTCTTATCTACCCAGCTATACAAAATAAGAAGGACCGTCTTCACAAACCAGAAGTAATACTGAACTACTGGTATTTCGGAGATAGTTCCATCGTCAGAATGCATAGTGCGTCAGGTGCTGAGCAGGCCCGATTTACCGAATAGGCACGGTAGGCAGGTGCCTAGGACGAGAGGCAGTTTTTTAGGAGGGCGCCAAAAAATTGGGAAATAAAAAAAAATTGTGGATGTATTTGTATGCGATCGCAGTAAACTTCTTATAATCTCTTGCGGGCGTGTAGACATCATTATCGTCTCCTGTGGCCATGTAGAAGCGTGGCAGCAGTATGTTTTCTTACTGATCGATGTGGATTTTCTTCCACAGAATCTCAAACACGCTCAATATTTTGTTCAGAACACACTTCTCTCTGGTGACCGATGGGACGAGGGTTCATAGTTGATCTTGTAGCTTCAAATTGGCGCACCCAGCAATGTTCACTGGTGGCATTTGGTTTGAGATCATGAAGTCTGTATTGGATTGTGGAAGCGTCGTCGAACTGTCACATAGGAAATCGTTTGGTAATAGTAGCGTACACAGAAAGCACGCTGCTCACCAGGAAAGCGATCCATGGGAAATGATTTTCCATGGGCATAGCTACAAAGCCCTGATAAGCTCCTTATCTTATCTCTCTTGGACATTCAGCTTTCCCCATAATTTGTGGGCCTTACCATAAAAATTTTATTTTCATCATATCCAGAAAAATTTAAATCAGCTGAACCTTTTTTTGTTTTGGAAACATGTCAATGTGCTATCATGGTTACCTATCTAACTGATCACATTTTAATATTACCTTGTTAGTAGTATTTTATGAAGGAGGATAATATGTAGATCACATTAATTAAAAAATTAGTAGCCTAGTTGGCAATTCTTTATAAAAAAATATTTTACTTTGTGGTTGTTTGTTTATTTGCACAACCCTGCTGTGCCAATACCTGTAATAATTTTTTTTCAAACCATAAACTTACCGAACCAACAAAAACTGACCTAAAACTCGGAGAGTTATGTTTTTCCTCAACATGTTGGCCAGCTGAGCTGCACAACCCTCGTCCAGCTGATTGTTACGAAGGTCCAACGTCTCTATACTGTGGTTAGTCGCTACAGCACTGCAGAACTGAGTCAAGGCCTCAGAACACAGTCCCAAGCTGTTCCACTCCAAACCTAGACTGAACACATACACCACACATGATCCACTACAATAACTGTTGTAGTAAGTTACAGGATTACATCTATCATTCATCATCCAGATGTGCTAAATTTAAATGAAAAGCAATATTAAAAGAGTTATATGTTTCAAAGTAATCACTAAGAAAGTGTGCTTCTATCGAATAATTATATCTCCTCTTTAATTTAAAATCAGAGTTCTAACATATACGTTTTGATTCCTCAATTAATGTCACTGATGCCAGATGGAGTGAGCTCTGTTCAAAGTCAAAAATTAATCTATCTTTCAAAAACGATGGCCTACTTCTTTTGCACCAATTAATATCAGTGTTGTCAATATGTTAGAAAATTACCAAATATGTTTTCTGATACATCATTTTTTTAGAACTTAGTATGGTTCTCTAATCAAGTGATCGAACATTTTGAAAATCAATAAAAATCCAAGCTCCAAAAAAAATCCACAGAGATAATGTTCTAATTCCAAGAAAATTCTTTTGAGGAAGTGGTTGACATAGCATTGGTTTTTAAAAAGAAGAATAAACATTTAGAGGCATCACTGACTTCTTGATGTTAGCACTCCGTGACAGCATCTTGCTTAATTTGTAGACACCTGGGCCTGCGATGTTGTTGCCTCGTAGTTGAAGGGAAGAAACATGTGTCAGGTGGATGGTGGATAGCAACACAGTGAGTCCCTGAAATAAAAACACTGTTACGTAATAACTATATTACGTAAATATCAAACTATAGTAAAATTGTTCTCCATCTGTTTTTACAAACCACAATCATTTGTCAAATAAATGGCTACTTATAACTATCCAAAAATGAATGCATATACTAATTAATTATTAATTAAAGTTTTGTTAAAAAGATAGCCGTATTTCATTACATACAAGTACCACCGGTTCACGCTCAAGTTTCAAGTGTGAGTTGAAGCAAGCCAAACACAGGACACAAAATTGCGAGGTGGTGCCGGAACTAGAGCACTTTCAGTGCAAGTCATGAACGACACTTTTCAGCATGATGCTATAATACACATGAACAGAATAACAGACCTCAGTAAAATTAAAACTATTATTTCCTAACATTATTTTAATACAAAAATAAAATAAAATAGGTCCTAGCAAAACCTATACATAACAAGGTAAAAATTAGAAGTTCAAGGTTATGTTTATTGTGCAGTAAACAGAAACTCTACAAACTCAGCAAAACTAACTTATGCCTATTTCTCTTTATATACAGAGTTAGGCAAAAGTCTGGAACCCCCAGTTAACTTTTTAACGCGTTGCAGTAGAAAAACCAAACTTGGCACATATTTACAACAAAAGAAATTGCACTTTTTCATCAAAGTTACAACTTTGCCCCAGCCCCCAAAATGGGGTATTTTTGGGGCAGCCCCAAATTTTCAATGTAAACACCTATCATGTGACCCCTCATTTTAAAGGGATTATCAAGAGAAATAAACGGCACCCCCGCCATATTCCCTCCTCCAACCAGGGATGTTGACCCAGTGGGGGGTGACAACATGCATTTTCATGATCACTATAATGCCTATAACAACAATCAGAAATAAAATTGCGTCAGGCTTTCCATGCATACTCAACCCCCTTCAGATTCTGGACTATTTGTTGCTCACAGCACAGTGAAGATTAGCTTTCTTGTACGTGAAATGTAGCTTTCCATCCAACCTTTGGATTCTTCCTTGTCCAAACAAGACATACAACGAACACACAATATTATGAAAAACAATAACCAGTAGATTTCTGTGTTGATTTTTGTTGTTGTTTTGGTTACTGTGTTTGGCTTTCTGTGATATCTCTTCTGCTGTTCCATTTGACTTCGGACCAAATCCTTGATAAGGTGATACCTGAACATCTTGTGAGCCATTGGGCTGTTGTTATGTTGTTCCTAAACAAATGTGTAAAGTAGGTAATAATTAATAACAGCAACTTCCAAGAGCCAGAAGAAGAGCTTCCGATTCCACTTTTTTGTTCGGCACGTAAACGTAGTTTGATATGAAGTGGTCCGCTCGATCGACTCCTCTCATTCTTTTTGTATATTCCGCCACAACTTTGGGCTTTGGAGTTTGAGGAGAAGTAGAAGCATCATGCTTTTACTTTTTTATGGGTTTGGAAAGTAGTCCAAACCCATAAAACTTTTTGGATAAGCGAGGATTTTGATTCTGTCCATCTCGCACCGAAGTTCAAAACCCTAACCACTAGGCTAGCAACACTTACAAAGGCTGTATTCCAGGGTTTATGATATCAAAGAAAGTAATCGTTTCCGAAGCTCTAATTTAGAACAAAGATAAATGATCAGATGATTTTCCATTGCTTTAAATTTACTTTCCCTTGCTCTCAATCAGTTGACATTTGCCCACTATGCGCACTAGTGATTCTTAATCTTAATGGTTTATTTTTTAAAATTTAAATCAGCTATTTTCAGTATTCATAATAATACAAATACAAAGCTAGGCAAAAGTCTGGAACCCCGTAGTTAACTTTTTAACGCCTTGCAGTAGGAAAAACTCGGCACATAAGATAAGAAATTGCGCTTTTTCAAAGTTACAAATTTGCCCCAGCCCCCAAAATGGGGTATTTCGAGGGCAGCCCCAAATTTTCAATTTAAACACCTATCATGTGACCCCTCATTTTAAAGGGTTTATCAAGAGAAATTAAATGCCGTAAACCACAAATCAATATCGTACCCCAAATCAAAATGGCAGCCATTTTAAGTATTAGGGATGAGCAAGCAAGATAAAGTGAGGACACCCCCAGTTAAATTAAAAAATTTAATGTTTTAATAATGACCAAAAGTTGAATTCTCTTTTTTTATAAAGGTATGCTGAGTTTAGTTTTCCTGCTATAACCTGTTAAATGTTAATAGGGGATATTTGAAAATGATTGCTATTTTGATTAGGGGTGCGATATTGACCTCTAGTTTGCGCCATTTAATTTGTCTTGAGAAACCTTTTAAAATGAGGGGTCACATGATAGGGGTTTACATTTTAAAATTTGGCGCTGCCCCCAAAATACTTATTACAACTTGGCTGGGGCAAAGTTGTAACTTTGTTGAAAAGGTGCACTTTCTTATGTTGTAAACATGTGCCGAGTTTGGTTTTCCTACTGCAACGCATTAAAAAGTTAACTGGGGGTGTCCAGACTTTATCTTGCTTGCTCATCTTATATTAAAATGGCTGCCATTTTATCTATATATATAAAGCTCAAATACCACTGACTCATTCATTCATTCATTCATTCATTCATTCACTCACTCATCACGAAATCTCAGAAACCATCAGACCTAGGAACCTGAAACTTGGCAGGCATCTTCCTTTTGGGTAGTAGACGCTCACTAAGAAAGGATTTTACCCTCCGACCTCTGGGCTCCGCCCCAGTGGCTCTGGAGTTTCCCATGTTAACCTTATGAGATTTAATGGAATTAATGAATCTTAACAGCTGTTTCAATTAAACAAGTTGGTTCTGTTCTATGATGTTCAATACCATTAAAGTTACAAGGATTACCAACAGGGTGCAGCACTATTATTTATTTCTTTTACTAATTTCCAACCAAATGGTCAGTGAGTGTAGCGAACAAACTTCAACCTGGAGGCGAGTTAGCGTAGCGAACGAGCTAACCTGAAGGCAAGTGAGCGCAGCGAACGAGCTCCAACCTAAAGGTGAGAGAGCGTAGCGAACGAGCTCCAACCTAAAGGTGAGTGAGCGTAGCGAACAAACTTCAACCAGGACGTGATTGAGCCATGCGAAAATTGATCATCTTGAAAATTAAGAAGTGAAACGAGCCAAAGCCCGCGGGTTACAGCTAGTATATTATATATATACTACGTGTATATATATATACATGTCATGCTAATTATGGTCATGAAAGAATTATTTCCTTCATTTTAGTAAGATTAATGATGCTATCTAACAAAAGGTCAACGATTTAGTTTTGATTATTTTCATTTACTGGTTCTTAGTTTTTAATGTTTATAATGGTCTAAGATATGTAAATTTGTATTTAAGATGGATTAGTTGACACCATTCAATGTACAAAACTGTACTTAATGAATAAAGCATATTTAATTTGATTTAGATAGTAACAAGACCAGGGTTTAAACCATTCCGTTTCAAAACGTAAAAAATGCCTCAGGCATAAAAACGCACAAAAAAAATTAAATACCCCCGCCGCAGCAGACTAAGCGAATTTCAACTTGTCTGATTACATTTTTACTAAAATATTTCCATAAATAAGACATATTTTTTCCCTATTTAAATAACATTAGATTTAACGAGTGCTTAGGTTTGCTGCTATGAGGAAGTTAAAGGTGTTTTTTGACCATACGTCAATAGTATAGGATGAAATAAATCAATTTGCCAGATTTTTATCAATATATATCCATAAACAAGTAAACTACAACAATTTTCATTTTCTCCATAAGAATAACATGGGAATTTTAAATTACACTATTTTTGAATTTTCTTCGTAACCGTTAGGCATACAACAGCGCTTCAATTTACAAAATTATTTCTTTTTTTAAGCTGTACAAAACGGTATAAAAAGAAAATGCAAATTTTTTGTTTTTAGGGTCAAAAATGGGAAAAACCCATTTTTACCCCATAAAACCCCATTCCCATGATCCGATTATGCTGGATCGCGAACTCGTTCGAATAAACGTAGGTTTACTTGTTTGTACCAAATTTCATCAAAATCGGATAATTTTTGCTCGAGTGATCGCGCTAACGGACACATATATATACAGTAGACTCCCTCTTATCCGGACACCTTTTAACCAGACATCGGTTTAACCGGACTACATTTGGTGGAAATGACATCTCTTTAACCGGACAATTTTTATCAGCACATTGGTTTAACCGGACTAGATCAGCAGGAAGTGGGCGGTACTGAAACGACTATTCTCGTGGGAAAGAATTGAGATCAGGGATCATGTGTCTAAGTACAATGCTGTCCTAAATTTAAGTTGAATATCACAGTAAACGGTCCGTTTTAACGAGTTTTTGGGGACGTCGGTTTAACCGGAAAAACTGTTATCCGGACTGGCCTTGGTCCCGAGGAGTCCGGATAAGAGGGAGTCTACTGTATATGAATTTGAATGGATGGTGTGTTTGGCCTCTAGGGACCTCAAAATGAAAAATTAAATCGGTCCCAGGTCCAGGTCTTACCATGAGTACTACGGTAATAGCTACTTCCCTATAGGGAAATTCGCTAAAAGAATAATAGCCTGCTGTTATTAATTCAAAGTAAACCCTATTTTTAGCAAAATCTATTTTTTGACCCCAACCAAAAACTGAGTTCGCATACTGTGTAGGGCTTCGTCAGCCGGCCAGTAAGGGTAAAAAATTGTTGATTATAACCTGTGGTGGTAAGAGGCAGTCTCCAAGGTTGAGTTTAACGACATCTTTTATTTGTGGAAGTGTTTTGCTCAAAACATTACAAGTTTGCACTGTGAAAGACAGACTGGACAAGTTCAGCTCGCCTGTCCTGCTGGAAGCAGAAAAAGAGATTAGGACGAACTGGTGGTTGTGACTAAAACAGAAACTCAAAAGTGATAAATAAAACCATTCATTTGCGTTATTTCACAAATATATATATATATATATATATATATATATATATAGGCCTACCAGTAAAGATTAATAAACTAAACTTATACTAAAGAGCAGTATGAATTTACGGCAAAGAGCAGTATGAATTTACGGCAAATGTAATACTGTAACTGTTTGGTAATGTTTTAGTTGAGAAAACTAAAACAGGCAGTTGATATGGTGCTGATTATTAGTAGGGAAGAAATCCTGAAATAAAATTATGGGTTATTAGTATCAAATTTTAACACAATTTCTTAGAAGTGAGCCAAATACTTTATAACCAGTACTTTATATGTAGGCCTATCATAGCAAGTCAACAGATCAAGTATTAGTTTAAACATGATAAAGCTGAAAACCATAAAGTGATAACCTAAAATGTCACACAGGACATCTAAAAGCTAGCTGTTAAAGTGTTCAGTTCTAAAAATGTCCATCAATGCAAATTTGAAAATATCCAAGGCAAATCTCAACACTTTGGCTTAGACGTGGCCACTGGCGGCGCACAAATGAAATGTCAGTCAAAAGTAAATCTGTGTACAAATTACCATAGACTTAACACCCGTGGTTCATCATGTTGAAATCAAGTACATTCTAGGAACTTAAAAACAGACTTTGAGCTCAGTAAAAAATGTCTTTCTAGTTCAATTTTGATTTAAAAAAGTTTTTTTGTTAAAATAAATAAAAACAGGATTTTCCTACAGTCACCTGACAAAGTGGACTTCCTTGCCCACTTCTGTACTATAGTACAGAAAGCTGTCAATTGCTGCATTTACTTACTTTGGCGCACAGTTTTTACTTTGTCACACACCAGTATTCCAACCAACAACACAAAACAGCGTGCTTTTATTATACACGTAATCCATGTACGCTTGGAAATAGGTTGGCAACACTTAAAGATATTACAATTACAACCAGCTGTTGCAGTGTTTCCCATTTTGTTTAGCGATTGGATTTAACCTAACCTAAAAAGGTGTTGTATAGTGTATATGCTTAGTAACTGTAGGAAAAATAATGTGTCTGCTCTAGAGAAACCTTTCAAACTCGCCTGCAGCCCGTGCTTAAGTAATTCTCTTGTCTGCAGCAAAATGCCACTTCGCCCACTAGTTACACGAATAACTTGCTTGATATGTTATTATTAATGCATCCTGAATTTGGTTCATGTACCACAGGTGGACACAGTTACACAAATAACTGCTTGATATGTTATTATTAATGCATCCTGAATTTGGTTCATGTACCCACCGGTGGACACGTTTCATGTGGCTTTTACAAACACGAATACAAAGTAAAAACACTCTCAAAGACTTCAAAATGCCGTTTTGTTGGGTACAATCACCATAGTAATGGTGTCCATTGGTGGCACACTTCAGAGTTCTCAAAAACTTATAAATCAGTAAAAATATTATTGGAGCGAACGTATTAAGATAGTGTATTGCAAATTAAACCACATCTAGGTAGTTTCTAGCAGGTAGGCCTACATATATCAAAATGCACAAATTGGTTGCTTACACACATTTAACCAAATAAATATAGGCTATTACTAGATAAATTGTAGGATATGATAAACAAAGTCTAGCAATAGCTTGTCCACTATGAAATATTGTATTAAAAATATTTACCTTTTACGAAACTTATATTTTAATATTTAAAAAAACCTAGCTGGAGCTAGGTCATAGACAGATTATATTCATTTCCATACATACTATTAATAATAGTTACATTTTATACAAGTTCATTATTTACCTCACTTCAATTATTGCTTTCACTACTTTATTATCTGGTGGCACTTGAAGGTTAGAACACACAAGTTCATATATTTCACTGTTGTTAGGCATTATTGAAATGATAGGCTTGATGATTCTTGACTTTTTTCACAATATATTCATCATTTTGAGATTATTACAATGAAAACAACAGGAGAAAGTAAAAGAATAATTTGTTCCTCTTGACTGTGTTGCTACTTTGTTTTGTTTTGATAGCTACTTCACCTGTTGCCTAGCAACAGCCACCATGTGTACAACAGCTGGACTTATTCTCCCTCTTTGTCACTATCCCACAAAATATTTGCAATCAACTCAAGTACAGGGACAAGTTTTCAACTGATTAGTATTTTTTAGTTAAATTATTTTGTGGCAAAAGGTCACAGAATTGTATTATTAAGTTAAGAGTTTAAAGTGAATTCTCATATAAAAACCTGTGCTGTCTGTAAATTTAGCTGGTAGGTATGTAAAGCAGCCTATACATTGCCAATACTCTCCATTATCAAATAGCAAAACAGCGGTTTTGTTTTGCCAGGGCAGCGGTGTTGCCACTTTTGCCTCGTTGCGGCCTTGTAATAGAGGCTATGCCATAGCTCAAGATTTGTTATATTATATACTGTACTTGTAAAAGTTCCACCTTTCAGAAATATATTTGAGAATCAGAAAAAAATAGATCCAGAGAAATTAGTAAAAATCAAAAAAGTGTAAAAACAACAAAGTTTATTAAAATTAAAAATATACATACAATAAATACTAAATACTATTTTGTACATTTTATCTTAGACATAACTATTAATGTTTATACGGTACTTTATAAGCAGATACAAAAAACCTTAAATCTAGAAATGTAAATTACAGCTCAGATTTACAGCTTTATCATTACTCAGTTTTTTACTTGTTATTTAGGTCCCTAAGTCCTGACAAGATTTACAAGCTTTTATAAGTAAAAAAAAAAGATAAACTTAAGCAATCGGGAACCGTTTTATGTTCAAAGTTAGGACAATTTCTGAGTCTGACTGTTTTTATTTAAGTAATATTCCATAAACTTTATAACTTATTTCCTTACAACTTTTAACTTTTCACCGTACAATCAAAATGCTTCCAAATTAAAAAAATAAAAAAGCTACAGTAGAACCTCTTTAATCCGAACCCCCGTAATCCGAACGTCCACTAATCCGAACCCCTCATTGCTGTACTCTATACACAGTACAGCAGTTCTTTATTGTATACTGTATTTAATTTACAGTATGTTTTATTCACCATGTTTAACTACTGTATTAAATAAACACTGTATTTTACTTTATAAAACATTTTTTCACTTTCCCAAAAATAATGTTGATCAATTTTAGCCATGTTTTAGCTATTGTTATGTAAAAACAACAAAATGTTCTGTAATCCGAACTATTCAATAGTCCGAACTACCCCTGGTCCCAATTAGTTCGGATTAAAGATGTTCTACTGTATTTATCTTTTAAAGTTGTATGTATTCAATAAGGCAATCTTAATTGAACAGGTGTCACACATGTAAGTTTGGGTCCATGGTTTACGAGAGGGTGACTCCAAGGGAGGGAGACTGAGCCACTATCCAGGATATCGTTTGCTGTAGGGACGCCATGTTGTAGTGCAGTGAGATACTGTGGAATGTCTTCAGATGCAGACCAATGTCTTGTCTCTTGATGAGGGTCTGGAACTGCCCAGCACACGGACAGTACTCTGCCAGGTTCTCCATCTTAATCTGCAACAGGCAATACACTAACAGAAGGCTGTCTTGAATCCATGTGCATAATACAAATACCTAGTGAATAATTTGTTATTTAACACAGAGTTAAATCTGCTAAAGCTTTATTTATTCCTGTTAAACGAAATGTTTTTATTGCACTTGATAAAGAACTGGTAAATTTTGAGAATGGTGTATATTGAAGAATAAAGATAAACCTTTCCAAATCCTTTGTTTAAGAATAGAAATCTAAGAGTATTTCAGATTAGTGAGGCGTTCAGATTTACTTTGTTGTCACTGTACTTTTTTTGTTTGGTTACCTGAAGACATTTGTTGCACTGCAGGTCTTGCAGCATATAGGCCATGGTTTTGCGGTTGATGATGTCAATCAGAAGATGCTCTATCTCACTGTTCTCATAAGCAGTGTTGCAGAGAGGACATTGCCAAGCAGAACTGAGAAGAAATACAAACATATGTTACAATTACATACAAATACCATTCAACACCACAAACATTTTCACAGTAGATTTCTGCAAATTATCTGGCAAGACCACAAGAACTATAATAACTACAGTAATAGGAACTGTAAGTTCTCTTTGTTGTATTAGCTAGAATGAATTTTTCAGAGTATTATAATATGAACAGGTTTTTAATTTATCCTCAAGCATCCAACCAACCTCCCATTGACAGTGGTCTTGTTGTTGTCCCTGCACAGGTCGATGTCTCGGCAGTGATTACAGGCACGACAGATCACTTCAGGCAGGACGAAGGAGAAGCAAGGGTCTTTCCACTGTGCAGCCTCGCCGAACTCTCCTTCACCAATCAGACGTAACATGTTTCTACGTAGCTTAGTCACCTCATTACCAGTGCTGGGGTCCAGGGATAACACCTGATTAGCCAGACAAGAATGTACTTGCTTTCTAATTCCAAAGTAAAGTTAAAGGAAACTTGATCTATACTATAATACAAGTAACATTTGATTTCAAAAAGGGTGTACTGTAGAGTGTTTGTGAATAATAAATGAAAATTAAGAGAGAAAATGAATCAAGTCATTGTAACAAGAAGAACCAGAAAGGAATAATGTCTATTTGGATAATATAACAAATTATTTAACACAGATCAGCTGTTGTTGTCATTTCTTAAACAGGATGAAAATATTAACTAAAAGAACTGAAAAAGTAAACAAAAGAGTCAACATATGGTTAGAACAAACAATAAAATATAGAAAAGAAAAGAACACTTGGATGAATACCATTGAGCATATAATCACTTTGAATATATTAATGAGCAGTGGGATAAAAGCGACTGTTCAAAAACGTTACATCGCCGTTAAATTGTTTTTGGCAAAGTACCAATGCCGTGGGCGCGTTATTCCACGATACCATTGTCAATACTCAATGTACTAGATACCATTGCTACGTTCCGCGATCCCAGTGTCTCAACAATGCTGGTTAACAGATGTTAAAAATATCATGAGTTAGTTGATGAGGTTTATTGTAGGAATTTGATGTAGATTGCTTGTTTGTATGAAAATGTTTGTTAGGTAAATTAAGAATGAAGAGTCCACTGAATAAAAATTTACTTTACAAATTAATTAAACGTAGCAAAACTGAAAGTTAAAATTATTTACAGGTAAAAACAATCAATGATATTTTTGTTATAGGTTAACCACAGAGAAGTAATATAAACAGAGCTAATATCTGTGTTGCGCGTAATCCGTGTCCCCATGTAGTGAGCGTGTCCCCACTGGACGTAGTTCACAGAGTACACGACAGGTCGCGACAGCGCTGCGCTACACTCACTACTCCGCTGCCAGCCGCTGAACAAAGTACAAGTTACGGTTTCAATTGTCGTTCCAATAATTATCAAGACCTTTATTTGAAACCTATTCCGTTAAATGCAGAATGAAATAAGCTTTCCAAAGATACCAAATATGAAATTAATATTTATATACGTGTTCTCGTAAAGCTAATTGTTAGAATTGCTCCGTTTCCCACAGTGTACATTAGGACAGTGAAACATTAGGTCTAATATCTTTATAGGTGCAATGTTAAAATAGCTGAGAGGTATAAATAAATACTTAATGATTTGATGCAGACAGTGACCTTTAATAAGTAAGTGATTACCATATGGACATGTATACGGAGAACTATACGGTAGTTGTATAATTTAAATAATTCAAAATGTAAATTGAATGGTTTAAACATAGTCTAGGGCCAGGAAATTTTTATCTTTGCTGGGTTTTCGCTATTAAATTCTAAATCTATATATTAATTTGAAACTGTTTTTCTTTGTGACAGCTAATTTGAGAGAACGGCTGGGGGTAGAAGCTCCATAGGTGTGTCTAAAGAAAGGCCTTGGTCTGTAGATGAGCCATCAAAAGAAAACGTGGTAAATTCCCTTGGGGCTCTGCCCCAGTGGCCTTTAAATTCCCATCCCATGTAATTCTTATGGGAGGAAAACGGGTTTTTGTCACAGCTAATGTCAGAGAACAGCTGGGCGTAGAAACTTGGTAGGAGGTAAATTCCCTTGGGGCTCTGCCCCAGAGGCCTTTAAAGTCCCCTAAGCAGATTTGTTTACATTATGACCATATGTATAATTTTACACTACTTTTAATGAACCAGCTGTTAATTTTAAAATTGTATTTCAAAGGTCAAGTGTTATGTTTACATTATTATTTACAATTTTAAAATTGATTCTTCACTGCATTACAAGCTTTTTATAGTTTAAAAAATTCTGAATTTATGATATGTTTTAAAGTTTTTGTTCAAAAATTGATCCTTTATTGCACTTATATTATAAAATCAGTTGGACTTATCAATTTCAAAGGAACAGATAACTATTCCTTATCGGGTTCGGTTCTATACCTTATATTTATTGTAGGTGTTTGCACTTGCCTTTTTTGTCTACTTTCAATAATCATTTTTAGATGAGTACATTGAAGATTTGAGCTGTATTCCAAGTTTTGTGGAATAGACTAAGCACGGAGTAGGTTTAATCTATGGTTTGGTGCAGTAGGTGAATTAATGGCACTTCAGGTATTAAAAAAGGGGAAAGGGTTTTTACTTTGATGTACATATAATGCTACATATAATATAATATGTATATAATATAATATGGCTAGGTTGAACAATGTATCTAAACCTCACTACATACAAAACGTTCGGAAATACAACAATGCCATCACATCTCATCTCATTTGCATAATTTGTTGCCAACCAAGCCGGACTAGGTTATGGATGTGGTTCAGCAAATGTTCAAGATTTGTGGTCAGATTCACTACAATTATGGTCCATCCCATCCACAAAATACATGCACAATTTTATGTGATCGATAGGACCAAGGCAAAACTACGCCAGAAGTTAATCAATTGGCAAATAAGTACAGGATGATTAAATACATTGGTTGATGTGGCAAGAGAATGAATCAAAATTGCTTGGATCGAAGTAAGAATGTTCCTGCCTTCTGGTGAATCAGATATTTTTATCAATACAAATTAACTGATTTAATATGCTGATGAAATTCTGTTTTTATGGCCAAAGATGGTGATTCACTTATGCAATCCAAATAAGGTCTGAATGATTTTCCTAAAGCAGATGTAACCAATTATTAGTAATATATACTGTTTCCGTAAGATAACAGACCAATTATATGAACTCCTTTTCCAAAATAGTGAAAGTGGCTTTAACATGAACAAAACTTATGAACAAGAATCAATTATTATAAGACTCCTAAAAAACCTTTTGGGCAACCTAAAGCCAACCACAATGTTGAAGGTAGTTGTTTACGCAATCTCATATTCATTATTACGCTTATCCTCCCTTAATTTAAATAAGATTTTCACTCTATCACCGCAGTTAGCTGAAGTTACATAAAACCTCAATAGTAACCGTCGATTTTGACGGGTTTCCCCTATGTATTAATTGGTACGTTTTTAAAATATAGCCTATTCAACTATGGGTACATGCATTACAAAATGTTATCGCAGAAAGAAAAAAATTTAAAAGTACATTACACACTTGAATGATATTCTAAAGCTTTTAAAATAATGAACTATCTTGCTTATACTACGTATTTACATTGAAGTTGGTTATGCAATAAAATTATTTACAGTAATATACAAAATCTTCATTAAACAACTTACTCACGAAAAATAACGTAAACAAATCACACGCTAAGTTTGAAGTCAAATAAATAATAATGTTTTATACATTCTTATATCAAATCGTTCGATTTACAAAATATTAAAAAAGGCATTTGCAAGATAGTTAAGTAAATAAACATTAAGTGGCTTTTATTAATAGCCAACCATTATTATTTAAAAGCTATTTAAAGTAACAACAGATTTATCAGTAAAGAAAGTTTATTAAAACCCGGATGTACGTAATAGTGTAAAAAACCAACAGCCCTATACGCAAAACGTTTAAAACCTGGGACTTAAACATAAAAATATGACAGTGTTTTACTGGTTTGCAAAATCTAAACTAACTTTGTACGATGTAATAAAACTTGTTATACTATAGGAACTCACACTCTTAAGTTTGAAGTTAAATAAATATAAATTACAAAGTTTTAGACCTTCCTAATTAAAATCGTTTGAGGTTCATTGATTATTCACATAATGTAAAAGTAAGTGTATGAAATAATCCATTGGAATTACAAAAGTTATGCCTAAAAGGTGTACCGGTAACTACTTAACAACTACCTAGTAAAACAATTTTCTCCTGACACATTTTTGTACATCCTTTGATGATCTTTGTTTCTTACGCGCAATTGGAAGAGATAACACACACGAACGTCTTTTAATTTCATACCTTAATTTGATGAACACGAGTTTGTCAATGCAAAATGTTCGGTGAATGTAGCATTTTTCAAGCCACCCAGGAAAGACTTCGTTAACTTCATTTATACAAACAGAAACTAAAATTTTCTTGACGCCAATGCTTGTAATTAAACTATTTACATTTCTTTCAATGGCACTCATGCAGATGTCCATCACACTGCGAAACTCACTAGACGGCACTTTTAAGTTTCCAAAATCTGAGGTTATTTTGGTGCTGTACGCTTTGAAGTGTACAAATAACTATACCGATCGATACCGATACGAAGTCGAATACATAGGCTAATTGAGAAAATTTATACAATAAATGCACACAAATAGTCAACAAAACTAAAACTTTAAGGCTATGTGAAGAAATATTTAACGAAATCAGCAGAATAAATAATAGTTGCTAGACAGCGCAATAAAACAAGTCTATTGCAATGCACTGCTTGTGTACTTAATATACATTAATGTTTTAAGTAAATAAAGGAACAACTGACTTTTGGCCCTATAGGGATGTAAAAACCTGCTCGACCAAAAAGTGACAACGACAGAGCTGGCATGGGCAGCAAAATGTAGCTTTCAGCCTCAAATTAACGTTTGTAAAACAGCTAAAAACCTCATAGTGTGATGAAAAAATAATTATTTATGCTCTGTATGCAACTACAGCTGTTGCACCTTGCTACAATTGACTATAAGTTGCTTACGTACTACAGGGTCCGGCAGAAAAAACTCCCCGATTACAAAGTAACGTGATGTGGACAGTAGAAGGAGCAGAGTGGTGGGGCTTGAGTAGCTGGGTAGGCGAGGGTACTATTGAGTAGGTGAGGGTACGTCTTTGAGTAGCTGCCGTTTTCAGTGTACGCCATGGCGTGGTCTGGTGAACATCGCACGTTCGTAGTAGAAGATTTTATTCAAAATGGCGGATCGCCTATTAATACTCAACGTGCTTTTCGTGTTCGCTTTGCGCTCGGACGACGGGACCCCGTTCTCAATAAGAAAACAATTTATTCTTGGGTTTCTAACTTTCTAGAGACAGGTTCTGCATTAAAACGGAAACCACCTGG